ATATCATGCTGACTCCTGTCGTACAATGCGGATTTTGAATAAAAATACAGTTTTGTGATATGTTTGGCCTACATAAATCAAGATAAAATTCTTCCGGATAAAAAGGTCTCCAGTTTTATGAAACGGAGGAAGTACTACAGTAGCTAGCCTACGCATTGTTGGACTGTTCGTTCTGCTTGATCTTTTTGTAGATGGCTTGGATCGTGTCGTGGGCTGCCGTGGGCAACCGCGTGCCAGGGCCAAAGATCGCCCCCACGCCTTGCTCGTACAAAAAGTCGTAGTCCTAACACCCCCACACGTGAAACCCAACTAACTACCCCATTGAAAACTACCTTGGGAGGGATCACGCCGCCACAAATGACCAAAATGTGCTCGGCGCCTTGATCTTTCAACGCTTGCATCAACGCCGGCACCAACGTATTGTGTCCTGCCGCCTACAAATGCCGTCAGAGTATTATAGCATATTGTCTAGCCGATTCTTCGAGATAGGAGGGGGGCACGCAATATGAGCATAAAACAAATACACATCGGCCGATACTCGATCGACCAATCCAAACCAGCCCACGAATCAAGCGGCCAATTAAAGCCTCGCTTCGTCATTGAATCAGTCAGAGTGACTTGTAGATTACTGGTCAATGTGTTGACATCCAAAAGTTAGTACAAACAATCGATCGACGGATGATATTAGCACACAAATCTCCAAAGTTTGGCTCAAAGGCCATATATCCCCATACATTTCTCCATCATTGGTGGACGTGTGTCTCTCTACCTACCTGGGAACTGACGCCCACGCAATGCACGTCCGAATCCACGGCCTGGCGCGCCACTTCTTCTGGCGTCTACAGCATCAATCATCAGATCGTGGGTTTATGTGTAGACCTGTCAACGTACCGAGAAGAGCGGGCCAACGTCCACGTCAAAGCCCAAGTCGGAAAACCCCGACGCGATCACCTTGGCCCCTCGGTCGTGGCCGTCTTGACCCATCTTGGCCACAAGCAGCCGCGGCCGACGCCCCTGGCGCTCGGCAAACAGCTCCACTTCCGCCAGCACGTCGTTGTACTCGCCTTCCGCCTCTGTACCCAAAAACGTATCGCGGTAGGCCCCCGTCACGACCGAACTCTGTATGATATGTCAAAACCTTACAACACACCTATACAAACAGGAATACCTTGGGCACGTGGCGGCCCCAGATCGTCTCGAGCGCGTCGGAAATTTCGCCCACGGTGCAGCGGGCCCGGGCAGCGGCCACCGCCAGCTTGAGCAAGTTGAACTCGTTCGTGCCGGGGCCCGTCGACTCTGTCAGTTTCGCAGAGTGGATCAGTCGGTTCAAACACTCTTGGGCCACAGCTTCGTCACGGTTCTTCTTGGTCTCCTATGCATACAACATTTATATTATTATTATGCATGTAAGAATGTGCATACATTTCGATGTAGCACACCATCAGGGGGGGCTGAATGAAACACTGAAACAATATTGTGCATCAAATTTAGTAAGCACACATATTTCACACCAACTAGGCATTCGATTTACAGTCATCCAGTGATTGAACCCTATAAAGAAACATAAATTGATATTTGTGATACAGAAGTGAAACAGCAATTCGTGAGATGTATACAAGAGTCTCATAGATACAAGGTCAATGTCGTTCTGAGCGATACAAAGACCGAAATATATATTGGCAAGTCGATTCGAAATTGGAGAGTTTGGGTGCTCAATCGAATGAGCAGCACCAAATCGGCAGACAATCGACCAATCAAAACCCACAACTCGAACCAACTGGCCAATCAAATCCACTCTTCGACCAATTCAACATCATCGAATTAGTGTGAGACAGCAATTAGTGTGACATCGAACGATTTTTACATAAATACGTCAGTCAGTTGTGACAGGAATATATATATATATACAGTCGTACGTTGATACGGTTGATCTGCTGCTCGCGGACTTTGGTGTTGTCGATCGAAAGCACGTCCACGCGGTCTTCATTTTGGAGGCGGTACTTGTTGACGCCCACGATCACTTCCTCGCGACTGTCGATACGCGCCTGCTTCTTGGTCGCGCTCTCCTCGATGCGCAACTTGGCCATGCCCGATTCAATCGCTTTGGCCATCCCCCCCAAGTCTTCCACCTACATCGCAACAAATCAATCCATCGTCATGACTCACATGTCGAATTTCTGCCAATCCAAATGCTTGACCCCTCCGCATTGGGCAAAACCAATATATAATAATATTGGTATAGTATAATATGTTCAAGATTAAATGGGATCAAATAGATTCGAAAGCTACTTCGCTAAATCACCCACAAGTCCAAATTTGGGTGAAATTCACAATATAATATATATATATAGCCAACTTCAATTGAGGTATATCTACAGATATAGATATCTACCTCGCGGATGATTTCCATGGCCGAATCGACCAGTTCCTGCGTCAAATTTTCCATCAAGTACGACCCGCCCCACGGATCCGCCACCTAATCCATCCACCAAAGGATCCGAATCAATGAAGGCTTATTTCATCTACATATGTGAACAAATGAACGATCATCTATCGGACAACCTTGGGGATGCCCGTTTCTTCTTGCAAAATCAGCTGCGTATTGCGCGCCATGCGGGCCGAAAACTCTGTCGGGAGCCCCAGCGCCTCGTCGAGCGCGTTCGTGTGCAGACTTTGCGTGCCGCCCATGACACTGGCCATGGCCTCGACTGTCGTGCGGATGATGTTGTTGTACGGGTCTTGCTCCGTCAGCGAATATCCCGACGTCTACCCCCATCACAACACCAAATATATGAAGATAAACACGACGAAACATTGATAAATGAACGAAATCGTACCTGGCAATGCGTACGCAGGAGCAAACTCTTGGGGTTCTTGGGGGCAAACTTTTCCTGGATCAACAGCGCCCACAACTTGCGCGCCGCACGCAATTTCGCCACCTATATATATATGTTGTGTTTATTCTAAACTGGAGCGACATGGAGAATGAATCGACACAACCAAATAATGTATAGAAGAATCATCGGCAGAAGGATTTAGCCAATCAGATTGCAGGAAACCATGATCAACGTTTAAATAGTGTGAGACTTCGATTAGTGTGATACCAATCACCACAGGTCAATACACTTTACATACAAAAGTTAGTACAAAGAATAAATCGATAGATTTGGCGAATCAGCACCAAAGTCCAAAGGACAATATATACTAGTATATTTATCAATATGTCAGACATGAGATGTTGTCGAATCGAGTCGAAACATAAGCCGTCAGTAGAATCGAATGTCGTAACAGAATAAAAACAACCACCTAAGCCAATCAAAACATCATGTCGTGTCGAATTTTTACCAATCCAAACATGGTTTGATTCGGCCAACCCAGATATATACTACTCGTTGTATGGTATAGATTATACAAGCTTAAATCGATCAAATGAAGCGTGTAGTCCGAATTTGAGTGAAATGGCCAATATATACTCGTTGAACAAATCCTCATAGTGGGATTTGGATTGTATTTTTGATCACGAAACACAAATTTACGACCAAAATAAGGAGGACATTCGCACCTCCATGTAAAAGTTCATGCCGATCGCAAAGAAGAACGACAAGCGTGGGGCGACAAGGTCGACGTCCAGGCCCGCGGCCACGGCAGCATTCACGTACTCGATGCCGTCGGCAATCGTAAACGCAAGTTCCAAGCGCGCGTCCGCGCCGGCTTCTTGCATGTGGTACCCCGAAATCGAGATCGAATTGTACTTGGGCATGTACTCCGACGTGTACCCAAAGATATCCTACAAACAATATCGTCGTTACAAGTCACACAAGGTGCACCAAACAACAAAAAAGTTGAAATTTATCACTTTTTAGGGCATATTCGACACAAAATGTCCTGAAAAAGACACAAAATGTTGTGGAAATGATACAAATGGCGTGAAAATGATACAAAATGTCGTGAAAATGATACAAATCCATCGTAGATGATAGAAATACCTGGATGATACGCATGGACGGCTGCGGCGGGAAGATAAACGTGTTGCGGACCATGAATTCCTTCAGAATGTCGTTTTGGATCGTGCCGGCGAGCAACTTTTGATCCACACCTTGCTCTTCCGCCGCGACAATGTACATGGCCAGGATGGGCAGCACGGCGCCGTTCATAGTCATGGACACGGACATTTTGTCAAGTGGGATGCCGTCAAACAAGACCTAGGAGCAGATATGTCAACAAGAAGGCACATCCGTGCATGAAGGTGTGCGTATACCTTCATGTCTTCCACCGAATCGATGGGCACGCCCGCCATCCCCACGTCGCCCTGGACGCGGGGATGGTCGGAATCGTACCCGCGATGGGTCGCCAAATCGAAGGCGACACTCAACCCTTGTTGCCCCGCAGCCAAGTTCTTGCGGTAAAAGGCGTTCGATTCCTCGGCGGTACTGAAACCGGCGTACTACGAGGAGTTTGTGACACACAACCTACGAGAAAGGACGAGCAGCATGGGGAATGTACCTGACGCACAGTCCACGGCTTGGCCGTGTACATGGACGCGTACGGGCCGCGGGTGTATGGAAACACACCCGGCAGTTGAGCGGGGTCCAAGTCCTATGACGGATCAGGTTATTGAGAGGTGGCGAGCAGGGACTGGCGGCACGACATACCTCCAAGTCATCCTTCGTGTAGAGGGGCTTGATGTTGATGCCTTCGGGCGTCTTCCACAGCAGCGCCTTTTCTGGGTCCTTGCCTTTGATTTCCTTGGTCGCCAACTTGGCCCATGCTTCCGGGAGCGGCTTCGCAACGCGTCGAGGGTGCAGTTCTTTACTCATGCACCGGAGTTGCTTCTCCATGCACAACGAGAAGGACGTTGCATGGCTGCGTTGGACGATGGGGCGGACAGGCGCGACGGCCGCCGATACACGCGAGCGCCACATTCGATTGAAAAGTGAAATGGATATACAATACAACGTGTGGTTGCACCCTAACCGCGGTATCTATTTTAACCAATCAAATGCCAGCATTTTCGTGGTAATTAGCTTCAAGGCTTAAATCACAACGACTTGGATTGGCAGGATTTCCACGCGGCATATGGTGGCTTGTTGATGCTGGGGCTGGCAGGATGGTGGAATCGAGCAAAGCGTCCTGTGTGTACATCCTGTACTGGTAGTGCAGATGGAGATGGTGCTGCATAGTGTGGGGATGAAGATGCTCGAAGATGACGATGTGCAGTAAGGAAACGCGCCAACGTCCTGGAGGGAATCTGAGATGATTCCACGCTTCGTGAGATGTGGGGGGCTGAGTGGTATGGACGTATACGAGCAAGGGCCGCGCGGAACCATTTGCATTCGCCATGCTCATATGCATGGGATCACGTGTACGATGCTCAGGCAATCAACTTTGAGATGTTGCTCCAACCTCAGTATACTTAATGGTACAGGTGTACGATGCTCAGGCAATCAACTTAGAGATGTCGTTCCAACCTCAGTACTTACCAGTACTAGATCTCACAGCCGTGTCCTACAGATCTACTAGTACATACTGTATGTGCCACGCACCAAGATTGACATCTCTAGGCCGCACCATGCCAAAGGCACTGGGCTCTCATAGAGATCCCCATTATCTTTGCCCAACGTAACCCGAGCCAATGCAGTCAGGATAAAGATGATGCCCAAGTACCATCATTCCATGAAAGAGTGATGATCTCCACGGAACTTCGTTGGATCGTTCACCGCACATTTGTGATCTATTTTCATATCGCATTATCATCATGTCTGGCCGCCGAGTGGTGCATGATGTGTCCCAACACTTGCTTCTCGTGGTCGGTGGTACGGGCTACGTTGGGAGCAACATCTTACAGCGCGCCGTCCAGAAAGGCATCACCGTGCGCAGTTTGAACCGCGGAGGTCGCCCTGCGTGGGACAACACCCCGTGGCTCGACAAAGTACGCTTCTCTCAATCAACCCACACATGACGTCATGGACTTGACGAAGAGCTACGATGTAGGTGGAATGGTTCCAAGGAGATGTCTTTTCCAAAGAGGACCTACAAAAGGCCGTCGCAGGTAGGACGCGACCTCACCTTGGGATTCATAGACCACTGCTCATTAGGCACGACGGGCGTGATTTCTACTGTCGGTGCGTTTGGAAGCAACGAGCACATGCAGCGACTTTGTGGCGATGCGACCATCGAGGCCGTTCGAGCAGCCAAGGATGCAGGTGCTTGATGTTCTCCATGCCGTCTCTACTTCTTTTTGATCAAATGGACATGCGCAGGCACGGAACGTTTTGTGTTCATCTCCGAGTCTCGTGTCGGCAGGCACATTCCCACGTGGGCGCCACTGTACGGCTACTTTAACGGCAAAGAACGCGCCGAGGCCGCTGTCCGAGCCCAGTACGCTGCTCCCCATTCCTTCCATCTACTCGTGATCATTGTGCTCTTAGTTGACCCTCCTCCTCTTCTTCTATGAACAGCTTTCCAAAGACCGGTGTGTCCCTTCGACCTGGCTTTGTCTACGGCACGCGTCGAGTCCACGTGAACAACACGGACCTGTTCCTGCCGCTGCAACTGGTGGGGGCCCCGTTGTCGTTTGCCGCCCGTCAGGTATGCTGTCGTCGTGACGTTTAACGCTCATGGTGATGATAGTTGGGTCCGGTGTCGGCGGTGCTGTCGCGGGTGCCCGTGCTCGGAGGTGAATTGCTCGCGACGTGTCCTGTGGGTGCACTGGCGAAAGCCGCCGTCTTGAGCGCCATCGCGCCAGTCCACTGCGACGTCTTGGACACGGCCAACATCATCGCGCTAGGGGATTCGTTCCACGAAACAGTCGGCGCTTAATCCCATGTCGTTCTCGTCGTAAATATGACCATGTGTTAGCATAAATGATTGAATTGGTCCTCCATACTCGTCGGGCAGAAACCAGATAGTTCCATATAAGGTAGTCGGTGAGGCACGAATCAATCCCTTATGCTGTATAGTACTAGTAGTGTTCGCCCAGTATATTTGGACATGATATCGCTTCGCAACTGCGTCGCTTACTTGAGGTCATTGTGGGACGCGCATAATGGAGATGTCGGACCTTCAAAATTTCTGAGTTAAGGAGGTATCTTTGAGACTGCAATCCATCAATCAATACTTTGATCCAATCATAATTCAACCTTCAAAATTTATAGCCAATCATACTCCTTTCCTCGATTAGTTGGCGATTTCATCAATCCCCCAAAATCGGCAAATTTGACTAAAAAGCATAATATATATCTCACCCTAAAGTTGTAGAATATGTCAAGGTGTTACCTTTCCGTGATATTACGTATCCGTCCTCGGTTTTCTTCAAATTTCCCAATCCCTCCAAGCCGCGCCGAGGCATCGGATTGGCTAATATCCACTTGTCCTTTCAAAAACAAAATTGATTATAGCCAATCCAAGACAAGTAATTTCGGAATGTACCGAATCTCCAATCCAGTGTGAGGCAAGGTACGTAATCTCATGTGAATCAAGAGTGTGCGTCACGTTGGACAAGTGTCACGACGCGTTGAATTGCATGGATACCATCCACGCAAAGTGATATCCACGTGGTTTGTCTGACCATACAGTATGTCGTGCTTACTATTAGTACTACTAGGAAGTATGAGTTGACGTTGCGGTCGACCCTCCACAACCTGTCGTATTTTTTGTTGACTTGGTTCCAGAATGGTGAAACGCCAAAAGCGCATCAAAAAATTAATACGTGTTCTCAAAGTCGATCTTCGATCCAATATAAGCTCCTGCTGCCACCCAAGCCCTTGAACGGGGTTGGAACTGTTCTACGCCTCAACGCACGCTGTGTGGTTCTACCCTCCACTGGAACGACGTACAGTTAGATCCTTGCGTTGCCTCCCTTTTCATCTAGAGTAATCCTTGGATGTTGTGGCCCCACTTATCGTCGCTGGTACGACACGACACAGCAGCCCATTGCAATGGCGTGAAGCAATGAGATTTCGACCCAGTCCTACCCGTTCGACGTGGAATGGACGTACTTCTGGACAAGGAACCACGCACGCCATCCTTATATCTTCTTGTTTCGCAATTGCCCTATCAACTACACTTATCTACCCCGTGAAGCACTCCTTGCGTTGCCCCTTCCACCAAATGGTACTGCGGCCTCACTCGATGTTTGAATTGGCGCTCTCAATAGTATCCACGCCATCTCGGACATGTCGTACGACGTTGCAATACATGCGCATATTGATATAGTCCAGGATAAACACAACAGCTTATCCACACCTGACGTCAACCACTGGGTGCGTCGTCTGGGAAGTATGATTCGATCGACGTAGCACATAGAGCTGGCGGAACGGGCCATGGTGGGGACGTGTAGTGCGCACAGAGGGGGTCGTGGCACCGTTGAACCACAACGTGCCGGACCAGGTCCACGACGTACATGACGTTGTTGCTCTTGTGGGCGCGGTGGACGTGGTGGCAGAAGCGGTTGTGCATGAGGTGGAACGTAATCGACATCCGGTGGGTCACTTGCCACGCGCGGACGGCCGCGTCGACGCCGTTCGTTCTCGTCGCCAACGCCGTCACAAATGACTCGAGCTGGGGCATCGGCGACGTGCCCCCCCCATTCATGACAGCAGTGCCCACAAGCGAAGGACAATCGTACGGAGCATGTTGAGGCCGAGCTGCCGATGACCGACGGCGACGACATCGAAGGAGTCGACGGCGGGACGAAGAAGATGATGATGTTGTGGGACAAATCAACGTGTGGAGGAAGAACGCCTTGTCCGACGCAGCTGCCACGTGGCAGTCGGGATGTCTGGTCAAGATCCGATCCGAGTTGTATTTGGACGACCACACACACCGAAACGCCCGATTCCTATACAATGGCATATATTGTGAATATTCGCTATAAACTTTTAAAATTCGCATGGATTGTCGAATCCATATTGAATCACGCGTGAGTTCTGATTGGTTGAATATACGTGTCCTCAGAGCCAATCAAATGCACTCAAACTTGGATTAGCCAATAGCGTCGATTCGTGATTCGGGGTCTGGAAAATTGTACCAAATATACCACAATACCCTCAATATATATATATATGTATTGTCCTATAATAACCCCTTTACGAAACACAGAAGTTTTGTAAATTCGATGAAAGCTTATTAAAACCATCGTTTCAGAAGAAATATACACAATATCAACTTGAGGACTGCAAAATTGACACTGGGGCGAGAAATTTGTGCACATATCCTTTAGCCACCAGGGAAATTGAAGCACAGCACACATGTTCGTGTAGAATAGAATTTCGATGGCCCCAAGTGTCTCTCTCTCTTGTCGATGGGATACATGTAGTACAAGGGGTATATATATATATATATACATACCGTGTGTACACGCCCGTGTCCACGAAAGATTGCACTTGACGATCTTTTCCCATCACGTCAAACGACATGTCGTCGCTGCGGTACCCGTCCAGCCCAAAATCGGCCAGCAACTCTTTCACAAACTAAATAAACCCACCATCAACACTACATATAAGGACAATATTCAACAATATAATATATATATATATATTCCGTTCCAATCACAAGAGACTGGAAGACTGGAGCTAGCTTACCTGGCCAGCCTCCAAGTTGTTGGCAAACAAACACCCGTCGGGCACTATGACCACGAGGTGCCGACTGAATTTGTCTGGGGCTGTCGACACCAAGTCCACAATATCGTCGGCCACCGACACTAGGACGCCGTACTTGCGCTAGAAATCAAAATACATGCCACTCAGTCAAGGTTGTTGCATGCATAAGTACATATATATACTTCGAACAAGTAAATAGTCGTAGTCGAGCAACGCAACCTGTAGATTGCAAAGCCATGCAATATATATATATATAAGTCGATTCGAAATTGGAATCAATCGAATGAGCAAACCAAATCCACAGACAATCAAAGATCGACCAATCAAAACAACCCAGATCACTGATTAAGTAGCCAATCAAATCCTCTCCTCGACGAATTCAACATCGAATTAGTGTATGACTGAAATTAGTGTGACATCGAACGACTTTGACATACAAACGTCAGAATGAAGAAGACTCGATCGATAGATTTGGCAAAGAATCCGCCCAAAAGTCCACATTTTGGGTAAAAGAAAGACAATATTTATATATATATATATATATACGAATGTTCGTACATAAAGTTGCACCGTGACCAAATGCTTGAGTTGTCGAACGAGGAGGTCGCCATTGACGTGGGGATTCAAGGCCGGTTTGAATTCTACCCAAGTGGTTCCATATTCATCATGAGCTACGTACGATACCTCCTCAATATGGAAGAGGTATACCGACCGAGATCAAAGTACAAGTGGCATGGGACGTTGTCCTGGATGATCTCGTACACGTGGCGCTTCGTGGGAGGCGTTTGCATGTACATGTCGTAAAACACGTCCACGTCCGACACGAGGAACTTGCGGCTGCTGCGCGTTTCAAACGAAAACAGCTTGAGGTTCTAAAGCAACATGAGAACACGCACGACGAGACGGAGGATAAGAACATGCGTGTACATGTGCGGATCGACGGGCTTGGATGCGGCGGAGAAAGTCGATGGCGGGCTGCTGTAGCGCAAACACGTGATGGACAGGCGCGGTGCCGTCGATTTGACACTCGATGGAATGCCGGATGCGGTAATGGAACGCGGCGTCAAAGGCGGTATTGACCATGGGGGTTGAAGAAGGGTCAGAGGACGGGCGTCCGTAGAACGACACACCAACTGACGTATTGCGAGGACGCTTGCGAAGGAGCGTTGTCCCGCCTGTGGCGCGATCGTCCGTGAGCCATGGAATCGTGGGAAAGGCGGTCTGCAGCACCAACGACAACACATTTGCCTGTGTCACAAGACTGCATCGAAAGCAAGGACGAGTACAATACGACAGCGTAGTGACAATTGTGCTAGGAAATACTCGTCATGACGACATTCACAGGCATACAACGATACATGTACGCACAACTGGGAGGGATCGCGCGCCGTCGTCGACGACGACGGAGGACGCAGGAATGCCGTGATGTGCGCTTCGCGCAGGACCAATGCGCGATGCTTCATGTGGAACAATACCATTTTCTCCGCCGCACGGCATTCCACGTCCACAGTTCCGACATCTTCGTCATCGATGGCCAAGCGCAGCCGAAACCTCATCGGAAAGGTCAAAATGCGCGCATGTTGAGGGTATAATATGCTACAGGTAACCATTTAATTATATGTATTTATAGAGGATTTGAATAGCCAATCCAAGGTGAGGATTTGAGTTCTCTTGGTGTTTGTATGGGACCCCTCTGTTGACAAATTTGAAGATCGTTCTCAATTCCATTCCTCGATTTTTTCGGCCAACGACCTGCAATGGCGCATCGGAAGAAGGTTCTGCTCAAGGTGATCATCCTCGGCGACAGCGGGTAAGCTACACGTGGGAAGCTGATGGGAGTGCAAATATGGAGGATTCAACGCTGATGTAGGGTTGGCAAGACGTCCCTGATGAACCAATATGTGAATCAAAGGTTCACCAACCAGTACAAGGCCACGATCGGCGCCGACTTTTTGACCAAGGAGATCATGAGCGACGAAAAGCTCGTGACCATGCAGATCTGGGACACGGCGGGGCAAGAGCGCTTCCAGAGCCTCGGGGTCGCGTTCTACCGAGGGGCTGACGCGTGTGTGTTGGTGTACGACATCACGAACCCTGCATCGTTCGACAAACTCGACAGTTGGCGCGACGAATTCCTCGCGCAAGCTGGTCCCCGAGAGCCAGGGGCGTTTCCCTTCATCGTGCTTGGCAACAAAGTCGACCAAGAGGCGGAACGAAGAGTACTACGCTCATACCATCATTGTTCTCGTCCACTTACATGTATCCCTTCGGTCTAGGTCTCGACCCAAAAAGCGCAGCAATGGTGCAAATCGAAAAACACCGACCAGGTGCGTACACCCCTTCGATGATGGTCGCGAAGGTCTTATGCGATTATATCGACAGCCCATCTCGTTTTTTGAAACGAGCGCGAAAGAAGCGACGAGCGTGGAAGATGCGTTCCAAACCATTGCCAAGATTGCGCTCCAAAAGGGCCAGGAAGAAAACATGTACGCATCATCCTGATGTTATCTCACACCGTTCTCTCACCATGACGTCGCAGCTTTGTGCCGGCCACGACCATCGACTTGAGCGGCGCAGCGTCCAAGTCCACCAAGGGCGGCAGCGGCAGTTGCTGTTAGTTTGTATGCATTTGTGGAACATGTTGATACTAATGTCATCTCCGCTTGCTGTTAATCCGAAGGCCATTGGTTAACAGTTACGACAGCTTCGCTCGTCATTTCCCAGTAGTAGCGAGTTCACCTTCATTAGCATTTCCGCGTAATATTTCCTAAAATTGCTATGCCAAGCCTTTTTTTTTGCCTTGGGAGTGCTGTATCCACACGGAGTTGTCGACTTCTTCCTGGCTATTGGTCGCGAGCATGTAATGCTTCAACGCGGTCGAAATCTGCCGAGCATTCGCAAAGGTTTCTTCGAACGTCGCCACCTCTGCTCGCACGACCGCTGCGTCTTGTTCTCGTCCCAGTGCTTGGAAGGCATGCCACGCTAGTCGACATGATGCTCACGAGGTTTTGTCATCGTATATCAAACGGCGTTACCGTCTTTGCCACTGGGACGAGGGATGGGTTTACAGGGAAGCGGTTCTGAAACAACTGTTGCAGGTTTGACTTGATGCAGTCGCCTCCTCGTGTCGCAGTCCACACATATATACTCTAGCTCCTGGATCCCATAATCCCCGCAACCGTCGCGGCACCGCACCATCGTCTTTGCCGCCTTCATGAGGAATTAGGTGTTGAGAAAATAGGGATGGCAGTTACAAATGTAACGGTCGATTTTCAGCAATCACACAAATCGATGGATGGGTCGCAGCATCGACTTCGAGTGGCGCTGAAGCCTCATTTCCATCGCTTGCTCCAGCAAGCTGACCTCATTCGTCACACGTACGTACTTCGATGGCAGCAGCTATCCGGAGCTATAAGGTCGACCATGGGAGACTTCCGACGGTAGGTCAGACTACTCGTCAACCAAGGAGATGACAACGGCCAACCCGTTCTCAACCTTCAAGGAATACTGCGCTAGCGTCGAGATTTTGCTTCAGCATGGGACTTCTCGCCAGCACTTTCAGTGTACGTACGTGATGCCTGTTGCTCGCTCATGGAGCCACCATCCCGACAGATTTGTTTGTCGTGTATGCTGTGACCAACCCCGACGGCATCACGCGGTCCGAGTTGTTGGCGCTCATACAAGATCACGTCGACATGAACAACGAAGACGCTCGTTTCTTTGAAAAGACGTACACATGGCTCAAGAAGCACTTTGCATCCACCACCGCGGGCCAATCCTACGATGCTATCGCCACGTTGCTGGCATCACATCCCCAGAAATTGCTGGACCACGTGCACATTAACGTCGACCGATTTCTGGGAAAAGTTGAAGCCAACAATACTGTGCACTGCCTCCTCCCCGACGACTTTGTCACACTCATCCAACAGGATTAAACTACATATAACTGTATCCCAAGTACTACAAAGTACAGTCGACCCATGCATAAGATAGATACACACATCTTCAACCGATGCAACCTTCTTGGTATTGCGTGTATGTTTATTTCTTCACGCCCAGAAGCTTATCAAAGTACATTATTCTATCTAGCTTACACATGAGAAGCATATCAAAGTAAATTATTCGAGCTTTCACATCAGAACCATCACAGTATATTATATTATAGCTTACACATCAAATCAGTTTCCGGGCTAAACCTGTGCATACAGCTACGATCCCAAGCCCCATGAAATGCTTCGCTTTCCTTGGATGGTTGTTTAAATGTCACACGTCACGTCAGTGTGACGATGCTGGGAGGTGTATCCTGCAGTGTCCATGTGGTTGGTCCGAAACGACGGGCTTCGTGTCGTGGTGGGTCTGGGGCGGTCGAACGTCGTCGCCGACCGCTGCGGAGTGTTGTTCAAACTGCTGTTGCGTTCACTATATGACAGAAGCGACGGGTCAAACGTCGGATCTCTCCCTCCCCGTGTAGATGGCCCATATTGGGGCGACGAAGAAGAGGACGATCGGGGGTTCCTGGCTCGGCCTAGCATTCGCTCCAGCTCTTCCATCGAAGCTGGGGACGCCGTGTTGTTTCCTGGGCCGTCAGACGACCCCTTGGCCGGATGACTCGACACTTTGTAGACCACCACGACCACGGCCACGACAAACAACAGCGGCAGGCGCGCCCACCACAGATCCAAGTTGGCCAACGCGGACGACAAGGACCCGGCGGGGGCGGTCGGCGGGAGGAAGCTCTCTAGCACGACAACCGTCGAGTGCGTTGATCCGACGTTCGCCACGACCATGAGGTCATGCGCATGTGCCGCGGTGCCGCCGCCGTCGGTGTCGTCCACGTCGAGGCGAGACAGCAGGGCCACGTGGACGCGACGACGCCACGATAAATCCATGGAATCTGGTCGACTAGCCAACGGATTGACTACGCCAGTGATGTATCGAGGTCGATGGGTGGCCACATCCGACACATTCCACACCGTCAACGTCGACGGCGACGCCACGAAAATGTACCCTGACATTGCTACAATCGCGGCCAAGTTCTGAGGGGTGGTTAAGAGGGCGGTAGAGGGAGGGGGGAGGCGGTGGAGCAGCCGACACGTGCGCGACCGCTCGACGTACAAGTCAAACACGAGGATGTCCCTTGACGCGACGGTGGCGTACATGATGCTGGGGCTGCTGCTGTCGAACGCCAATGCTACGATCGGCGACCGACTTCCTTCGCACATGTAGTGCGCCTGTTCCCCAAGCCGGGACAGTGGAAACAGGTACACTGCCGAGGCTTGGGCGACCGCCAAGAGGTGGCGATGGGGGACCATCGCTCGTATTGGGACGGATGTATCCAAAGTCGTGAGAGTGTGAAGTAACACGCCGTCGTCGTCTAAGATGTGGATGGCATTGTTGATGGGAGGCGTAGCTTGCGTGGTGGTGGAGTTCATTCGCTCTTGTGGCAGGTCGGGGGTCGGTTTTCGGTTCACGAGGAGAAAGTGGAGGGCTTGGCCGTGGAAGGTTGTGCTTTGAGCGGATACAGGCGAGACTTTGTTCTGTGAATCAACGATCGAGTACGAGGAAGTAAGAGTGGAGGGGGAAGAAGGGAGGAGTGAAATCGCTGGCAAGTCGACGGGTACGGACGACGACGACGACGATGTCCAGTCGAATGTGATGTTGACTTTTTGGATCAAGGAATCGCCCCAAGTGCGCACAAGCGTCACATGGGGGGTTGGGTGGAGGCTCAAGGTCGCTGCCAGCACCTTCGGATCGACATCAGGTGAGGGAGCTTCAGGAACTTGGAGGGACGTGACCAAGGTTCCCCCAGGCAAGTCGTAAAAGTGCAATGTGCCGTTCGCAGTGGCAACGAAAAGCAGGGACAGGGGGAGAACCAGCCGTGGATGGGGCAGCCGGAATGGCTGCAGGGCCACCACGCTGAGCACATGACCAGCGTGGCGCTCAACAAACCATCGATGGAATGCATCGTGATGAGATCGAGGGGGCGCACCACCAGATGACGGCGGAACGTCGCATGTTGATGGTGTGGACATGGTTGACTCGGTCAACAGAAACGCTTCTAATTGCTGGTTGATCAAGGCGTCAGCGGTGCCGGCCGAGGCGCGGTCGATGAGACTACCCACAGCCAGACGTCGCAAATCTCGCAATTGTGCCAGTTTCTTCTCTTGTAAGGCGATCATGCGATCCGTATCGGCGAGTTCTACCAGCAATAGTTCCGACTCGGACGACCTGGTTGTAGAACTGGCTGGCGGGTCAATAAAACTGGCAGAAACAGGGATGTCATTCGAGCACGTCGTCGTCAATGTGCCTGTCACGACATGCGCTACAAGCCACGCCATCATGAACATGCTTCCACGATGCCGCATCGTTGCAATGCCTTTTGGCAGGTTTGTCGAACAATTGGAGCGTTCGATTATGGTCCCAACGGGCACTGTAACCGGGTCGTAACGATGTAACCGGAGATTGTAACTGATCGAGTGCCATCAATCCACTATCAACTTGCCAACACATTGTACTTGACTTGAATGCGATGCAGCAAGTTTGCATTGTACTCAGCCATGACCACAGTGATACTAGTGACAAACATCGCCGCGACTACAAAGTGTGGATGCCCCTGGAGAGCTCGGTGAGTCATGTTGTTACGGAAGCTGTGGCGCATTGGAACGACTGTGCTGCATGCACTTGGAAAGATGGAACGTGGACTATCTATGACAAGGACCACAACGAAGTGCCTCGTGATTTCACCCTGGACTACCTCCACTCCCAAACCCTGCCCTATCCCGACATCCCCTCCAACAGTACCCCCCAGCTGCACTTGACGTTATGCGTACCACCCAAAGCATCTCCACTACTACCCACAATTGCTGCCCATCCATTGACCCCAGCCGACCAAGTACTGCAAATATTTCTAGTCCACGCATTACAAAACCCCTGGGGTCAAGGCTGGCGCATCAACTGGCAACAATTCAAAACCCTCACCAAGTACACGATGCTTCCAAGCTCGACGTCGTCGCTGGGGTGGGACACGCAAAAGATGCTCGCGTTCAAAGCCTACGCCAGCTGCCCCCTAGGTCTGACGTACCCTGAGTTTCTCCTGGCGTTGGCCCGCCTTGTCAACGTGGAGGCAACATCCTCCCTGGACCTTCCCTCCCTCCATACAATCATCCTCGACTCCACCGCCACCACCACCGCTTCCCTCCGATCGCTCTTCGCACATCTCCAATCATACGACTACTATGCTGAATCAAATTATTCAGTTTCCACGTTAACTCCATTCAGCAAGTCCCTGCACCATCTCTTGGCATCGTTTCGAACGCCTGGCGCGCCGTCGAATGTGCTGACATTTTCGGAGTTTCGAGCGTTTGTCCTGGCCGTGCGATTGAAACTCACCGTGCACGTGACCATCCAACAACTGACAGCCGTGTTTGTGCATCAGTTCCGCATCGACGTCTTGCGGGCATCGGACTTTTCCACTCCATCGCCCTTTCACAATGTGGATGTGCCCATCAGTCGCCTTGTGACTGGACTTATCCACGTCGGTCTTTGCAGCGTCCCTCGACTTATTGGGCTGCTCCCCGCGGCAGAATCGTCACTGAATGCCCAGCTAGCCCAACGCGTCGTGGACCCACAGTATCCTGTCACATGTATCAAGATCGTCATGCAAGAAATCACCCACGCGTTGCTGCCTCATGACATTGACACGATCTGCGCACGACTGCCAGCGAGGTCGGCCCACTCCTTTCGTGAGGCCGCGGCGTCCTTGCATCGGGTCTTCCTCTCAATGTTCCAATGCGATGGTGCCATCGATTACGTGGCACATTGTCGTGCCCTTGTGAGCCCCAAGCCTCGAAACCAGTCGCAAGCTCCCCATGTCCATCCGTTGACCGACCAATCATTGTTCAACAAACCAACCATACCGGCAGGTTCAACCAACTCGCATCCATGCTGTGGGCCGCCGCGGCAACATCCGCTGGACAAGGCCGACGATCTCTTCGACGCCATCGTCGTTGAAGCCGTCGAAATGACACATCTAGTTGATATCGAGTTCGTGGCAGCACAATGGCTCACCGCCGTCGATTTGTACGAACGCTTTATAGCCACTCAATTAACCTCGGGCCAGGACCACTGTCCAGTTCTTCTGCGGTATGCCACCACGTTGACCGTCTTCGCGCAACAGCTGTGGCCCACCCGCGACGTTCCAGACATGTATGTACAACACCTTCAAAGTTGAAGGCTTCACGCAAATGCTTCGTAGTATACTGTACTCATGATTAATCTATTGAATGGGGCTACAATATTATCGTGCTGCATGTATATCAGATTGGAGCTGGCGATCGAAGCGGTTCGGGTGGCGGGGCTGACGTTCCATGCATACTGGGCCAGCTTGTGCCTCCACTTGGACCCGAACGATGTGACGATCTTGACGTGCGTGTGGCAGTGGGCGCGGTGCCTTCAACTTCACGGCGACTTTGTTTCGCTTCAGACTAGTCAAATGCCAGACATCCACCTCCACGTCCTCCCTTCGAACCCTCGCTCGTCGGACAAAACGATCGAGTTCTGGAGCGTCGCACCCGTGGCCACCGCCGCCATGCTCTACCACGAAGCGTGGAGGCGGTACCTTGTCGCAGTAACCATATGCCCCTCGGACGTAAATGTGTTTACTTGCGTGGTGGCGCAGCTACAGTTAGCCATGCACTTGCCATCCGGTACTGCTTCAGATATACCCTTTGGATATACTGATGACAGTGTGGAGCACGCCAGGAGGGGAGGCTGCCTACGAGCTGTTCCACGATGCCTTGGACCGGTTGGCATTTCTAGAGCAATCGTCCCCCGATTCAAAAGCGCTGGAAGATCACATTCAAGCGTTAGTGTTCGTGCGCCATTCATTCTTGAGCCCCACCGTCACAACGTCCCCGAGAGTTGCCCCCTTCTACTCCTACGTCGTCGCGTCGCTGTTTCAATCATTTTCAACGTCCACCACTGGTCTGTCTTGTGCGGATTTAAACCGACTGAATGCTGCGTGCTCGTTCCCTGCACTCCCTCCCACTACATTGCAATGGCTGCACGACACATTTGAGTCCACTGGAGAAGAGCTCACCCAAGCTGGACTCGTGCAATATTTTGTACATTTCGCCACCACTGGTAGAATATACATACGCTGGATCTCAACGCCATGATACACTGACGAATACACCTTGTAGACCCGATGGAGTTTCATCGTGCCTTTCGCGCCTTGACGGTGGACTTTGAAGCGGCGGCGCAAGTCCCCGCCTCCTGTCTCGCCGCTATCCGATCGTACCTACCTCGTCATCCGGCAACCCCCCAAGACTCCTCGTCGCTGCCTCGCCGCCGTTCGTCGAGAAGTCGCGATACGTTTCCAGCGTTTGCATTAGACCACACCCCCCACTCGATGGCCGATTGCTTTGTCGTGCTCAGCGGGGTCGTGGCCCCCATTTCGCAGCTGCAGCTCGACCGCACTGATTCGGCCACGGATGTGAAGGTCGTGGTTCAGATCACAGACAAACTGTACCATCCTCACGTCAAGTCGTTTCGCGTACCCGACGAAATCGCTACGTTCTTGTACCCAGCGCCCTTGTCCGTGCAGACTGCGGCGCCGCCGCCGCGGTGGTTGGACACTGTTCTCACGGGTATGACTTCGTTTCCTATCGCTGTTGTGTTCAATAAAAATACATCGTTATATTCATTGTTTTTTTAAGTAACGTTACTGGAATCCGAGGAAGACTCTGATACTGCGTTGGGGGGTATAGATGTCAAGGGCAATCAAATTTACGCGTCATGTTTGCAGTTTTCACACCCGACGACATCGACAGCGCTCCAGGGGTTACTGGTGGCGGAAGGTGCTTCTACCATCGCTCTACCCCCGTGGCTTGACGACCATGCGACCTTCTATCTCCCAAAGTGCCTGTGCTTTCTGTCTCGCCGCCCCACGTTCAAGACATTGCACCTGGCACTGCTGCAAGTATTTCGATCGCAGCATATTCAATCCAAAGTGATCTCGGCCTTCCTCAACGTCCCCTTACCCACCTCGTCCCAAGATGCGAAAACCATCTGCGTATTCCACGACCACACGTTCATGCTGCACTCGCCCCAGTCGTTTCCACCCAACGAAGTTGACTTTGCCCTCCTTTTCGAACGCCTGAGCCTCAACAATATTCTCGAGGTATGTTGGTGAAAGCTCCTGCAATCCCCCATAACGTTACCCCTTCAAACAAATCCAATCTATTCCAAGGAGCGTAGTGACGACAACACCGTTATGTATGATTTATTGTGTGTTTAACAGGTACTCATGTACATCGCGTGTGAAAAGAAAGTGGCCGTCGCTGCCAAATGTGTGGCCATGCTCACTCCGATTCTGGAAACGCTGCGCGCGCTCCTCCACCCGTATTTCGTCACGCAAGTGGTGTACATTCCGATCGTGCCAGAGGTTCGTACGCCCATCTGATTCCGAATTCGACAGGTTTCTGATCGACACCACGTGATGCAACACAGCATTTGGGCGACTTTTTGTGCTCCCCCGTGCCATTTCTCGTCGGGCTGTCTGTGGACCAGCTGCATCGAGCGCAACTCGATTCGTGGGATGACGTTATCTTTGTTAACTTGGACACAAATACCGTGCACGTGCCCCCCAAGTGCCCCCTTCCTCGGTGCGTGTTTCACAATAACATGGTGGAGTTGGTTTCAACCATGGCATATGATGATTAAAATTACAGTACTGTATTATATATATATATATATATATATATATTATATTCGTGAACCTCTGTAAAATGGTCATTGTAGCCTCCCGGAACGTTCCAAGAAGAAATTTCTCAAAGCTCTGGGCGCGTTCTGTGAACGGGCGACGATTGCCGTGCGAGATGACAAACACCACGTCGACGAGGACAACGCGGCCGACTTCGTCCTCTACGGCCAAGTAGATATGGACGATTTCCATCATGGGAATATTGAGCCCATGGCCTATGACGTGGCGTGGCGGACAGAGCAGTGCCTCGTGGCAGACCACATCAACGACATGTGGTCGGGTCTGCAGGAGCTCGTGACCACGTTCTTTCGCTCGTACGTGATCTGATTCTGATGCCACGTGGGATTGGGATCGGCTGATTCCGTGCCGGATTCTGATTCTCGCGCGTGATGGTTGTCTGATTCGTTGTGTCTGGACAGACTGCTTCGGGACTGCAAAAAGTACTGCCGCGGCGTTGGCCCTAACGCTATCACGCACCAAGTGCAGTTTGACTCGAAGGGGTACTTGCGAGACTTTAGCACCACCCGAGACTTTTGCATGCACATGTTTGACACCCAAGTGTTTCAAGAGTTTATCACGAGGTACAAAAGATATTGTATAATCATTCTTGACAGACTCATGGGATATAATGTGTATCAGGGAAGTGCAGCAAGTGCACCCACACCACCACAGACGATCAGTGCACCCACAAGATGCGGAAGTTGTGGCCAAGATGGCCAAGACCCCTTCCCCCCCCTTGACATCGCATCCGCGTGTCGAATTTGTAGTTGTCACGATCACAGACTAAATCTATTGATATTCTACGCCTTTATTATAATCGTTCTACTATGTTTTCAAATATCTTGTTTGCAACTGGTGGAATACATGTATGGTTTGATTAGAAAAGGAAATACATGCATGCTATTGTCGATTTGATACAAATTTGGGGACGGGGTCCAATCAATTCGCGCCGACCAAACCGATCCACAATCGATCTGATTGGTTGAATTTCATTTAGAAGGTTTTGATTGGCTAGTAATTTTGAGGTAGCCAATCAAATCGATTTAAATACCAACGAGGAACCACGCCACAACACGAAATTTCACCTCGAAAGCACAATAACGTGTAGTATTACAGTATATTTAACGTTACCGATAAATCGAATACTCGTACACGACGACAGCTCTAACGTAGTGCCACATACATGACATACTTCCACGCCCTAGCGTTATCAACTTACTTAGCTCAAAGACATTGCTGTTGATGTACATACAACCCAGAGGCAATGTAACATATCAGTGCCTTCGCTGCTGCTTTGATGTGTTGGGGACGTGGCAAACTCGAAAAGGGCAACTTTTTGACCGCGAAAAACTTGATCTGTGATAACGTTCGACAACCCAAAAGGTGGAATGTATGTTTGCTTGGTATACAACTAACAAGTTTGGCGGAATGTATGTTCCTCCACGGTACGTACATTAGTTAACTGTAAGTACCTTAACGGTACTCATGTGTCACCGAGAAGTTATAAGCTACTGTAGAGTTGTGTCGTTATTGAATCGATTGGTATCGTAAACCACCTGTACGAACTGTAAGTAGTACGATACACGACTACTCGTATACGTTTGCATGATATATCAAAGGAAACAGCCACGTTCATTCGCTTAGTTGGCTTTTTTGGTGGTTGGTGTGGCCCCATCATCCAAAGCCTGCAGCTTACTCTTGAACAAGGTCGGCAACAGAGCCAGGAACTGCAACGCAAACAAGATGCCAAAGTTAACCATATTGTTGCCGCTGCTGGCGTCAGAGGCCGTGCTGCCCAACGTCGCCCCCGTGGAAATGTGAATGCAGTTCGCAGGAATGAGCCCTATCCACGGATTGTGTATAATAAACAAATCATCGAAATGCCTTGTAATTGTGACACATGTATACCGATGAAGGTGGCCGCGACGAATATACCGAAAGGAACGTCCACGAGAGGAGACGCGACGTTCACAAACCAGTTCGGAAGCAATGGCGTGAGACGGAGGAAGAGCATGTAGTAGAACAGGTTGGAGCGGTTATCTGCAATCTAGCACATGCCACACATCATCACGACGGGTTCCAAGCGATGAAGAGGTGTGGTACCTTGGCCTTGAACGAAGCCAACATGTCGGGAAGAAGTCGCAATGCCAAGTTGCGGCCCAAGTAATGCGACAACAAGAAACATAGCGACGCGCCTGTGGTGGCACACACCGCAACGAGCAAATTCGCATAGAAAAAGGGATATAACGCCCCCGAGAGGATGCTGAGGATGAGGGGGCCGGGAATGGCAAATGTCTGGAGCGACACGTACACGAGGGCGAAGCTCGAAACCACAAAGTTGGAGTGCTGCTCCTGATACAGACTCGCACACTTCCACAGGGCGGTGACGGTTCCCAGCTTGTCGTCGCGACCTCCAACGAATTTGGGCAACACGCCTTGAATCATAAAGGACAGCGACATGCCCTGACAGGCAGGAATGTCTACCACAGGGGCATGGCTCAGGAACACATACACACCCGTCAGCACCGCCAATGCAAGCACGCCCAACAGCGCCGTGGACGACATCAGTGCAACAATAACGTTACCGTCGAATCTTCGTTGGGTAATCCGGATAAACTTTTATCCGGAGGATAGTATTTTATCGTGATAAATCTGAAATCAATATATAATTTATATATGAATTGATATGGAATTTAACCTTGAACAATGTATACTGCATTCATGCAGGCAACTAACAAATCATCAATCTTACATTAGGAGGGTGTACACAGTTGAGTACATTTCAATATATAGGTAAGATGTTACTATCAGCACAATCTCTATAATATATTTCACCATGTTTAAAATAGGTTCCAAGTACTTTACAAACGTTTATATAATAATATCAAAATTCAATTTCAAACAATATTATTACATGCGCACATGCTTTACACTATGGTCGTAGGTTGCAAGTCGTCCTTTCCCAAGCGACGAGCATGACAATCGTCCGAGCTTCAACAGACTCGCCACTCCCAAACGCTTCCGACATCTCCGCTTGCTTCCCCGTGCCCACTCATGGTTGCCACTGCCGCTTCCTCCACGCTGCCGACGACGTCCGGGGAATACATTGCCTTCTTCGATCGTCTGGTGACGTTGCGCCGTCACTTTCACACCCACCCCGAGCTCAGCTTTCGAGAAGTCAACACCCAGCAAACCTTGCGTCGATTCTTGATTGACGAAGCTGGCATCGCTGAACAAGACATTCACGCGTGTGCTGGCACAGGTAAACTTGCAACCGTCATGGACCATGCTTCTCTGTCGTCCTCATCAAGTCTATTCAGGCCTGGTTGTAAACATCTTTGGGCCCGTCGACCCGAAATCGTCCACGTCTCCGCGGTCCATTTCATGCGTCGCTTTCCGAGGGGATATGGACGCGTTGCCCATGACAGAAGAGAACCCATCGTTGGAATATAAGTCGATCACGGCTGGCGCTGCCCACATGTGCGGTCACGACGGACACATGACGTCGTTGGCCGGGTTTGCGCAACTGCTGCAACGCCGTCGCGAGCATCTCCCTGTCAACACATGCGTGCGCCTGCTCTTCCAGCCTGCGGAAGAAGGCCATTTCGGTGCGTTTCTTCTACATCACGACCTTGACATGGCATGACCAGGGGCCGTGGCGATGATCAAGGACGGCTGTTTGGACGGCGTGGACGAAGTGTATGGGTACCACAACGTCAACTTCCCCGAGGGCGTCGTGGCGGTGAAGGCCGGCGCCGTCATGTCCCACGGCAACACCTTTCGCATCACCCTCACAGGGCCAGGTGGACACGGGTCAGCTCCCCACCAGACACTGGTATTAATACTATTTCTATACCTTGTCACGACTACTTTGGGTTTTCTGTATATGTTGATGAGTTATTTCGTAAAGATATGTTGGATATATTGTGAATTCGCTATAAACTTGCAAAATTCGCCTGGTTTGTCTAATCAATATTGAATCACGCTGGATTTCTGATTGGTTGAATATACGTGTCCTTTCTGCAAGAGCCAATCAAATCCACTCAAAAATGGATTAGCCAATAGCGTCGATAGTTCGTGACTATTCGATTTGGCGGCGAGATCAATCGATTCGATGTGGTCTGGAAATTCGTATCAAATCGACAATTTTTCAACCATATTCTCTCTTTTGTTTTGGATATTAACGTTTATTTCATGATAACTTGATGGACACATTGTTTGGGTATTCTACCAACGCTTGATAATGTGCGAACCTTTGAATTTTTTAAATATACATATATATATATATTTTTTCAAAAGTGCTCATATAGTACTTCAGTAGTGTTGAGCCATATACCGTTGACTAATATATATATAATATATATATATTCGTCTATATATAATACATATATACTAGTATATATATAATTTATGCATGTATTAGTCAATATATATATATATATATATATATATTTATAATGTATATGCGCATGAGTGACAGGTATATGTCTCCATATCCGTACCTCTCAATATATATATCCGCACATATATATATATATGGAGTAGACTAAGAGGGGAATAGGACCCGATTGTGGCGGCTGGTCATGTTATCGTGGCGCTGCAGACGATCACAAGCCGCAACATTTCAGCCCACGACAGCGCCATCGTGACAATTGCCCAAGTCCACGGCGGGGAAGCCGATAACGTCATCCCGTCGTCGGTCACCATGTCGGGCACCACGCGCGACTTTGCCCCATCCGTTGCTGACGTGATCAGGACCCGCATGTCGGCAATCGTCACGCACACGGCGGCGGCGTTCGGCGTGCAAGGCACGATTCAGTTTGACGAACGGTACCCGGCGACTGTGAACGCCGTGGACCAAGCCGAGATTGTGCGCAAGGTGGCGCAGTCTGTGGTATGTCATGCTGACATGTCACATGTTCGTTGGAATGTCACGCGTGTAGGCCGGGGAGGCTAACGTCACCGCCGACGGCCTGCCGCTCTGTGCATCGGAAGACTTTTCGTTTTACCTCAAGGAGCGCCCCGGCGCGTTCTTCTTCATTGGCACCGTGTCGTCCGCCAGTCAGAACCGCACGTTGCACAGCAGCACGTTCGACTTCAACGACACAATCTTGCCCGTGTCTGTGCGAATGTTTCTCGAATTAGCGCAGCACAGATTGGACTGTCAGCTGTACGACCCAGTAGAAATGGCGCGCATCCATTGCCCGTTGAAATAGGACACGCTCGGTATATGCAATACATACTAGTACCTAGTAGGCCTACTGTATTTCGTACTAGCATCCAATGTAAATACGAAATGGACGCGAGATTCGATTCAACATTTGTAAAAGTCGGCACTGTTAGGTGGCCATATCATGCAGTACTGTATGTACGTACTAGTACTACTACTACTAGTAGTATTGCACTTTGAACTACTGTAGTACTGTAGCACGTACTTGGAGCTGTACTACAGTATACCGTAGTTGTGGGCATTTGGTGTTAATTAATACTACTACGTACTGAAGTAGTATTGTCAATTTGATACAAATTTGGGGAGTGGGCCAAACCGATCCACAATCGATCTGATTGGTGTTGAATTTCATTGAGAGGGTTTTAATTGGCTAACGTTAATAATTTTGAGCTCATCTGAGGTAGCCAATCAAATCGATTCAAATTCCAACGAGAATCCACAACACGAAATTTCAGTCGAAAGCACAATATACATATAACTTCCTTATTACTGTATGGCTATTAATAAGGAGATAAGGAGTGGTCGTATATGATGATCTTCAAGTAAGTAGGAAACCTACTTGCTTATTTCGTGACGTCTCGGCTTGGTGAGGGGCCTCCATAGTATTCGATGTAAAACATTCCAAGTTGACTCCCTCTTGGAACGTTAAGCACATAGACATGAGATACATGCAAAATCATTATTGTGAATTCGCTATAAACTTCCAAAATTCGCCTGGTTTGTCTAATCAATATTGAAAGTTGTGATTGGTTGTCCTTCTGTAAGAGCCAATCAAATCCACTCAAAAATGTATCAGCCAATAGCGTCGATTCGTGATTCGATTCGGCGGCGAGATTCGGTTCGACGGGGTCTGGAAATTCGTATCGAATCCACAATATTTACTATCATTTGCTAAACATATCTACTTGAAACACGCCCTTAACTGCAAAGACATCGGATCAGACGACTCTCAGGGGGCACGATACTCATGCAGTGCCCATGCGCATGTTTGTGTCAGAGTGCGATCCCTCGTAAGGAATAGCACCGTTGAACTTCCCGCTTTTGCCGAAGGGTCAGCCGTTGTGGTGGCATTGGTATGCTGAACAACTTTCGTCGGGTGCTGTGAACAAAATGACGGACTTTGTCGCCTCCAGCTTGGTTCCACACTGAAATTCAAAATTCATCGATTTACATTTCCCTGTTATATTAATATTGAATATACAATTGGATTACACAGGATATTTGTTTACAAAATCACTTATGTTTGCAGTGACAGATTGCACCAATCACATTTGACCATGGATGCACCAGCCCATCACTCATAGTCACGTCAAGCATGCCATCCAACACTGGCGCGACCCATGCCCACACGGACGCGATGCTGATGATTGTCGACAAAACCCTCGCTCGGCGGCGATACTTTCGAGAGAAGCAGCGCGAGCATCGCCGCAAGGTTTATGCTGACGAGGCGGTTGTCAAAGCACAGTACGAGCACCTTCAGTCGGTCCTTGACAACCTTCAAGCAGGCAGGCCGTCGTCAGTGGCGCCGCGTGAAGCAAGCGATGGTCCGTTGTCCTGGCATTCCGTTGCTACCGTGTTCAAAAGAGAAGCCCATCGTGTCTTGAAGGACCGCCAGTCCCTGGTCACTCAAACGCAAGAGTATCAATCCCTCATCCAGGCCATGCAACGCTTTGCCATGATGAACATTCCGGTGCGTCTTCACATTTCCATAGAGACAAGCATGTGAGATCGTTGCGTGTCTGAATGTAGCCGCCCATGTCCCGCAGCAATGACGTGTGGCACAGTGCGACGTTGGTGGCCGACCCGAGTGCTCGAAACCTGGGCAAGGAGTGGCTCACGCAGCAAATGTACCACAACATGCACGAGCCGTTAGCGTTGCTCCCTGCCGTGAAAAATGAAGAGGAGTTTGTCCAATTTGAATTTCAATCGTCGGACGAGCGCGACGACCTCTTTACGTGCATGGATCGGGTACAGTTTACGTGGCCAGGAACGATCCAAATGTTTCGACGCCTGGTCGAGACCAACATGAAGGCGGTGAATTTCCCCAATTATGAAACGGCAAGTACTTAGATGAACGAGTGGAGGGTCAACACACACGTGACTGATCTTTGTGTTTGGTTAGGTGGTGGAAGAGATGACATCCAACACTCGCCTGTTTCACACGATCACTCCTAAAGGAACGTTCGTGAACTTGCTCCAAGGACACTTCGTCGAAGCAGATCGGTTCGTCATGGTCATGCGGCAAGTCGAACACGACGAAACATATCTATGCCACCCCCTCCAGAAGCAGCAGCACGACATGTCGTGGTGCGTATTCACTGTCAGTTCGGGGGTTGTTGTGGACGGTAAACTTAGCTTTTTCGTTGCATGTAGGACCGAGGTGCGGCAAGTATCGCCAACACACATCTTGCTGCGCTCAGTCGGCCGTGTGTCGCACATATTTCGACCCACCACCGGGTTTTTGAGTGTGGACGAGTTCGCGGCGTTGAGGAGCGTCGATGTGACGGGCATCCAAGACGACCAGAAGGATGAGTACGTGCGGCGCGAAATGACCCGACGGTGGTATGCGGGGTTCTTGCCTTCGAGAAAACGTTTCATGGACTTGATGCACCAGAGCGCGATAAGCTAATATTCTCTGGCAACACAACTACTGTAGTACGTAATAGTCCAATGTACTGTTACGAACACATTTCCTTTTGAGTGGAAGGCATGTACGACGTAGTAACTCGACGCTGAGGTGTCAAATTATAATCCTACAAGTTATGGTCTACGAAAATATATGCAGGAGGGTGCGGGAAATAAATGATCAACTTTTCGATCGTCAAACAACGATATCGTAAGTATATTGTTAATCAAATCAGCCGAAAAAAGGAGAAAGCAGCAGCGCACTACTTTTAATTGCCATTTTGAAGGATTGCCATCTTCTTCAATCGATTGCACTGTGAACGGTTGCATAACTTTTAAAAATATGACATTTAAATGTTAAAAAAATAACATATCAATATATGCTATAAATTATAGTTGCCATATTTACCCTATATTTGAAGTTTTCGCCAAAGTGCTGTCTTTAATGTGCTGCTTCGTGGCTGAGAGATCACCGATCAACACAAGTATATGGTAGCGAGTACAACAACATCGATACTACGTAATAAAGTGTCATGGACAGTGTTACAATGCTTTTTACAGGGTATAATCACACCCAAAGTAAGCTGTATTTCAGTTTTTTGGCATGTTTGAGCTCACTTCACGCATGCTAAATAAGTGCAATTGTCGCATACCATATCTAGTTGTGTAGCCCGCAACCATGTCTTCAGTTTTCATATTAAATGTATCACGCTCAGACATGCCGTTGCTGAGCAATTCAACGACAAAGTCGTGTACTTTCTGGATAACGTTAGTCATCATTGTTCGTCATAAAACATGACAAATATTGATGTTAACTTGATGCTATATTTCGATGTTATCTTTTTAAATTATGACATATTTCTTTTTTCTACATACGTCTGATAAAATATAGGCTTATAGAGGTACTCAAGTGGAAAGGTTATGAAATATTGAAGGATAATCACCTCCACTACTGACTATTAATATATAAAGAGATTACTTAACATTTGGTGAATTAAACATGTCCGCTGCCGACTCACTACACGTTTTGACAAATGCGACCTACATGAATTATGGATACAAGACTGGTGTGCTAACATTCAAAATCGATTTACCTCTTTTTTTTCACGATTTAGAAAAAGACTTGAAAGGCATCGTTTTCTTAACTTTTGGTATAGTGATTTGCGTAAAAAATCGCAAAAAATTAGGTAAAAATTAGGTAAAAAGTAGGAAAACGTGTCCTAATAACGTTACCTGTGTCATCTGATACAAAAATAAAATTATACAATGAGTCGACTTTGATTGGTGCATTGCAATCCGAGCACGAATCCGTTGCCCTTTGATGGACGTGACGTTTGACGCCGTGGAGTTGCCGCCAAAGTCGGCGGCGGCACGCAAGCATGCTACGTCCATACTCCAAGCAGGCGACATTGGCCTTTCAGCTGACACCATGCAACGAGGTATGATGTTAGGTACGCATACACGATAGTTTACGACGAAAGTAGCGGGCTTGCTTCCTGGAAGCTACGTCGCATTGGCCGGATGCGAGGCCTCGCCCGAGGTGCTGTGGCTCCGTCGTGCTAGACTCCTTGCGGCGTCGTTATCACCATCATCTCCTCAACCGTCAGATGAGAACCTCGAGCCCATTGTACATGGCGCATTGCCACCTACCTTCTCGCACCATTTGCCCACGACCGTCAAACTGCATCGCATTCCCAATCACGTGATCCCCTCTATCGAGTACATTCATTTGGACTTTGTCGGGTCTTTGGTATCCGATCAACAGCAGCTCCCACTCCTTCCCATGCTCGTCGGCGGCATCTTCGACGACAACATGCTGTGGCACTGCATCTGGCACGGGCTTGACTACGGCACCTGGCGCTGCCGTCTGGGCGCTACCCCCGACACCACCACCGATCCCTCAAACCAACATGTTCTGCCACGTCATGACCAGCAGCTGCATTTGCACGGCCGTCGATTTGGAGTCGTGACCAACCAGACCCAATTGACAGTGTCGCACCCATCCACGTCCAGCTTTCGCATCGTCGATCCTTCCAAGTCATTTGTCCCCCATGCTTCGGCCACTGCGCTCGTGACTCTCGCCACCCAAGTCCTCACGCAGCACACAACGCCCTCCAGTACCTCGCATAGTTGAATGATTATCATACGAGACGATGTACTTTGTAGACATTTGCCGAATTCTCATGCATGGCCCCATGGGCTCTGGCAAGACCAGCGCCGTGCACCTCCTCGCTAGCCACCACGGCGCAACATTGCTGGAGATGGACGCGACCATCCTCACGTTGCAGTCGCCGTCATCGTCGTCGCTGGAGCGGCCGTTTCTGGCGTGTTTTACTGCGGCCCTCCACTTGCAACCGGCTGTCATATGCATCAAACACATCGAGCGGCTCTTCCCCAAGACGCTGGACGGCCCCGCGGCCCACCGGATTGCCGATTTCGTTAACGCGCTCCACTCGCTACGTATGTGAAACCTCCTGTTGTTGCATTGTTGCCTGTCATTTCGGGAATACAGTTGGTTTGTGTGTGTCGGAGCAACTTAGTTGGTTCACATATTGTGCACTTCACCCAAACTTGGACTTGTGAGTCATTTTGCCAAATAGCATTCGAATCCATTCGATCCAATTTATGCTTGTACAATCCATACTATACAACGATTAGTACTGGGCCGAGTCAATCGTTTGAATTGGCAGAAATTTGACTGTACGTGATTTGATTGGCTTTGGCGGTTCTTTAATCTATTATCTTTAGGATTCTGCTGAGTGCTCCAGTTTCGAATCGATTTGAAACTTACTCAATCGAAGTGAATGGAATGTTTGGTTCGTGTGCACTTTGATTGGCTAGGACAATCTCAAATACATATTTGTCGAATTCATTGTCGATTCGCCTTGGACGGCCATAGTACAGATTTTTGACAATAGTTTTATTTTATTCGATGCAAGTAGAAGTGGAACCATCGGCGCGAATCGCAGTGGTTGGCACGGTGGTGGACATGACCCAGTTGTTTCCCAGGGTGCGGCAGTGCTTTGACGACGAAATTGACATGGAGGCAAGTAAAGCTGGTTGGATTCGACGTGTTTCCTGATCGAATCATGACGTTATCGTAGCTGACGGCGCTTCCGTTTCGGCAAAAGTTGCTGCAGTCGTTGGGGGCTCCATCCTGTGACGTGGCCAGCCCATCGGTGACCGCCGTGTTGATGCAACACGGCCAGCAACCTGGTGACGTGATCTCGTACATGCGACACGCCGTCGCCACTGCCGTCGTCGAGAACTTGAAGTACACGAACGACGATAACGTCACTTTGCCCCTTGACCTGATAACGTCGTCCCACCGCCAAGCCCCCAAACAGTCGGCGACGTCGGTCGTGTCGAGGCCAAATGTGTCGTGGGATGACATTGGGGGCGCTTCAGATGTCAAGCAAACGCTGCAAGAGATGGTTGTCTGGCCCTTTGACAAGCCCGAGGTAGGTAGATATACATGTTATTTCGTGTATGAGCGTATTATCAATATATATCGAAAACACAAAAGCCGACAATATATATATTTAAATATATAATTTGACGGGGAGACTGGTCAGGTGTTTGCGCGCATGGGCATCACGCCCCCCATTGGATTGCTGCTATATGGCCCTCCAGGTATAAAAAAATACTGAAATATTATTATACCTCGTCCTTGAAAAAGTCGTCAAATTTTCGTTATCGTTTTAAACGCAAACGGGTCCAAATTCAACGCCTTTTCGGTATATTTTGCGCATATTAATCGTTTTTGGGGCGTAGGCACGGGCAAAACCATGCTGGCCAAGGCGGCTGCGACTGCGACAATGTGCAACTTTATGAACGTCACCGCCAGCGACTTGATTTCCGCTGAATTTGGCGAGAGTGAAAAGGCTGTCACGCGAGTCTTTCAAACGGCGCGGGCCATGAGGTATATTATATATATATATATATATCCGTACGCTAGATTATATGATAGGTGTCCTGGATGCGTACAATTGGACTCGTTATATTGGCCAAAAATTGGGCTTTTGTGCTGATTCGCCAAATCCATCGTCAGATTAGCTTTTTGTACTGAATTTCGTATGAGCTCAAAATCTGTCCTGTTGTCATGCTCTTCAGACTCATTTGTGCTACAACACTTTAATTCAAAGTTGAATGGATTTGATTGGTCAGTTGTCATGAGGCTCACTCGAATTTGAGTCATACTGACTACTTCGACGTAGAATATGAATTGGATTGGCCACTTGGTTTGCGTTCTGGATATAGATTAGTCGATTGGGTGCTACACATATTGTGAAATAAAACTTCCAATATGCGCGCGGTTTGTCTCATCAATATTGAATCAGCCCGGAGTTCTGATTGGTTGAATATACTTGTCCTTTCGAGCCAATTAAATCCACTCAAAAATGGAAGCGCCAATAGCGTCGATTGATTCGATTTGACAAAGTCTGGAAATTCGTATCAAATCCACAGTACATAATACCCCACAACAAATTTTGAATCAAAGTGACAATATATATATATATATCAGTTCGCTAGAACATTTGCAATGTGTGCTGGAATGCATACAATTGCATTCATTTCATTGATTGCAAGAATCGACGGCTAACGTGTGGCTGTCCTAGTCCGTGCATTGTGTTCTTAGATGAATTCCAGTCCCTGTTTGCGTCGCGGTCGTCGTCTGGTCAGGTACGGTAGTCGAACTGAATCATCTATTAAATTCTATGGATGTTATGTTGCCTACGACGATTGGTTTCTTACGTCGAATCCTATTCTATTATTTCACTCTTGTATGTGTCATGCACGTTGTAATGAAGTTTGAACAATGTATGATAAAATATATTAGTCCAATCGCTTGAAGTGTACATTGACTACTACTGTGAATAATATTATTACTAGTATATAATTATTTATATTCACGCTATATATATTTTATGGTGCAGTCCAATCAATGACGACAAATACAGTATAGGGTTATTGCATGGATATGATTGATCATGCCTTCGTTTAATATGGGTGCAAGTACGTCGTCTAAAAAAGTATACAATATTACAATGAGGGTTTTAGACGTGAACTGGGTCATGTATATTTCCTGGTTCTGTTCGTACGTTTAGAACGCAGCCAGCTAGTTGATCATGAATATTTGCATACACCACACCCACCGCCGTTTGTGTTCATGTGTGACGATGGTGTTATAATTCTTGGGGACATTGTTAGATGGGCTCTCGAATGGCGTCGCAGTTGCTCCAAGAAATCGACGCGCTTCGATCTGTGCGTCATGCAAACTCGTCCGACCAGTATGTGTTTGTGCTCGCGGCCACCAACTGCTTGGACGCGATCGACGAGGCGTTCCTTCAGCCAGGGCGATTTGAGCACGTCGTGCACGTGGGGCACCCCGACGCCGCCGGTCGCCGGCAAATCTTGGTCCGTGGTTCATATATATATATCGTCCTTGTTTGTCACACGATCGATCTGAGTCAGAGTCGAACGGATCCTGAGTCTGAGTCTGCCTCGTTCTATCGACCGAATCGTATCCTGGGTCTGACTCGAATGAGTCTTCCTGAGTCTGAGTCTATGAACCGAATAATCAGTTGGATGGTAGGAATTGGTGAGGTCGCAAATGCCGTGGGATGACGACGTCGACATGGACGACATGGTGGTCGACACGGACGGATTGAGTGCCGCGGAGGTGGTGTCCGTGACCCGCATGGCGGGTCTCTTGGCGCTGGCTAGCGATTCCGAGGTAAATTTAGCGGTGGAGTTTGCACGATATATTTGAGTTGTACAGTAGTACGTACTGTAGTCGGTCGAGGGGGGGGGGTCTACAGTATGTAGTGTGCTTTATATGTGCGACGATGTTATGTGGTGTGTGTAGGCAAATGTCTCGATGGATCACTTGCGGCAAGCCCTCATCACGACCTTGGAGAGATATCACATGCACTAAGCAACGATAATGTAGTACCTGTATATATACTAGTACTAGTATAGTAAGCCCTGCATATAGTATGACGCACCAACGTATTGCACGATAAACAGTAACGTTAGCGTAAACGCAATCTTGACGGCATCGATTCATATAAACTATAGCCTCGTTATATACTTCAGTATATAATGGGGCTATAGGTTATGAATCGATAAGTCAGTGTTGCCCACTCGAGTAACTGGCGGCTTCCCGTTACCTACTTTAACACGGTCAAAGTGGACGAGTGTTGAATAATACTAGTACTAACGTTAGTATTAATACTAGTAGTATTTGTCGAAGGATCAGGGAACTTAGTAGTTTTGTATATTGAGCACTATACGCACAAGTAACGTTAGTAGTAGCTGTTGACCACGGGGGGCGTATGCGTGGGCCACCAATGTCGTTGTGGCGTACTATGTAGTATTATTGTTTGTTCTGCGTAAACGTTAGCTCGCTTACTATTTCCCCCGAATCTTTTTTTTGGACGACTACAGTACCTACCGGCGTTCGTAGCCATTCTTCTTCAACTAACGTTATCGTCAGTATCGGAAATAAGCAACGGTGTTATAACGATGTCCTAGATGCATTCTGCGTGGCGCATTCGTCCGCGCGACGTTTCATACTGAAACCGAAGTGGTGAAACCGCCATTGAAATGTTGGCGACCAATCCGCTGTGGGTTTGGGGAAGGGGCGACGCTGCCCCCGTCATCACTCGTCGACTTGTTTCCCCCAAGAATGCATCGCTTTGTTCTGTCGGCAGGGCTCATGGGGGTAGTTCACGCCCGCATCGAGTGGGTGGAGTCCAAGGCGGCACGCCAAGAGCGTCACATCCTGTTGCCATTGGACGGGGACGGTCCTGCGATGCGTCAAGACACGTACGCAGTGTGTAAATGAGGTGACGACAACAACCAGTTTGCGTTTGCCATCATTGCAAACACCGAAAACGACGACGCCGACTGCTTCCCCAACTTTTTCGCCGACGCGACGGGCTTGTCATATCCGTATCCCCGCAGCAGCTTCCACCACGATTTGGCAAACGAGCCCGAGCCACCGACCACGTCCTCACCTCGTGTGGAGCTCGAGTTGACCTACATGAACGACAAATCCGCGTCCAAGCTCGCGGCTGTCGACACCAAGCTGTACACGTACATCAACTTTGAAATGAACGGTCCTGCCTTGCTCTACCATGCGATTCCAACTGAACGATGTCCTGGCGCGTACAACTTTGCAGTCAACGCGCACGAGTATACTCCAGCTGCAAAGTCGTCGACGTGTGCCACATGTGTGGCAGTGACAGACTCGTTGCGTCCATTTGGTGACAAGAAGGACTGGTGCACCACCGCTGCCGACGCCAGCGATTTTACGGACGCCAACATCGCAGCGTATCAAGCGACGGTAGCCAAGCTGACGACGTACCGTACCAGCGCCGTGAATAACAAATGTAGTGACACTCGATGCGACGCCGTGAGCGTGACTTCGCGGGGCATCTTGAGCTCGGAGCCAACATCGCTATCAAACCAAGGGGACAAGCCAGACGACGAAATCCTCGGGAAAGGAGAAAACGCAGTCGTCGCCGCGTGGGTTACTTGCTTGTCCAAGCCATTCTCGACTGAAGAGTGGGGGAAGCTCAGCACACCACCGGCGACTGATGCTGACTGGGCGACTCTGCTTGCACTCACCGGTCCAAACTGCCACCGAAGCTGCGACTTTGGAGTGACCTTGAAGGAATGGTATACGGTGTACACATGCCCTTTGAGTGCGGGGGGGTACACCAAGCAGTGCGACGGGGCCGACGCGTGTGAGTTTACGCAAACCCTCAACATCCATAGCGATACTCTCATCGAATCGGTCGGGGTGACCTTGCATGCCGTGGACTATGAGTCTCCGACGCAACCCCTGATAGCTGACCCAGCCACCGTCCTTGACGTACCCGCGTACAAATCACCTACCACCGCGGACAATACCCCGTCATACGAACTGCATTTTGACGCGGAATGTACATTTGGAGATGCAGCCTTCGACACCTTCTGCGGGTTTGCCATCGCCCTTGGCGATTACTTTTCGTTGATAAGCTCCGTGGCAACCACAGCGGCAGCGACTGGCCTCATGGCTAGCACCCCCCCACGAACCATTGACGACATTGTGTTTTGGCGGGTCAAAGTCGAAGCCCCAGGGGCGGACGTGAAGTGGATTGTTGTTGCCAGGGAGGGGGAAACGACATTGCGTTTGAACCATTTCAAGACCACGTTGACATTTGAGGCGTACACTGCGTGCGGCAAACTCGACACAGCAGCGCTTGCACCGTGGACGGTTTACGCACATCGTCACAAACAGTTGCACAAAGTGGACGCGTGGTTTAGCAGTCTCTTGACCACCCGGGACCACGGTGGATGCAACGTCAAGGATTCCGACTTTGCCCTCGTCAAGCTCAAGTATGACCCAGTCCAGAACGCAAACTACGAAACGTACGTTGTGCCAGACGCCAGCGACGTGCCAATCAAGAATACATTCTTGGGCCTGACGTGTTGGTGGCAGTACAAGGATGCAGGTGAAGCCGAGTACAATTGGATCTTTACGTACAGAAAAGACCACCCAGTCCCCCAGGACAAGCTGGACAAGGACGCTGCGATCAAGTTGAAGAACGTGGCTCGCACACGAGTGGACGCCGTGTGCAACGTGTATTTCCACTCCAACGCCCCCCGTGCCAGGTGGGTCGATCCCGAGCGCATAGACCTAACAAAGACGTTCGAGTTGAAAAACTGCGACGCCCCGCGCTTCAACGTGGCATCGCCCGCCGATCAAGGCCGGTTTGTCAAGGATACCTGCGACAAGGTGGGGTTCCCGGGGCTCACACCGTGGGACGACTGGGAAGAGGAGGGGGTGCCCTGGGGGGGCGAGTGGCAGCCCGCGCCGTTCCAAGCCTGCGGGGGATGGATCGTGTTTTCCACCGACCCCGACACCACTGTGACATTGAAACCGCACAACGAATTGAGTTGCTGCAACCAGAAAGGGGAGGGTGGCGCCCAGTTTGTGTGTACGGCGTTTGACGACACGGTCGATGCCAAGCGATGTTCGGATGTAGTCGCCACGACCAAGGACTCGACCACGGACAAAGCGTCGTTCGGCGTGGGCACAACGTACTTGCCAAACGCGCAAACGTTTACCTCTGTGACAGTCGCCCGTGGATACACTCTGGACGCGTTCACAGCTACGTCACCATCTTCGCCAGTGTTTAGCATGGACGCGACAGCCTCGGAGGTTACGAAGGCCTTGCCCCTTGATGTCCAGTCAAAGGACATTGTTCGACTTGTCATCCGCAAGGTGATACGAGGGGGAGGGTCGTTGGCCATGTTGATAAGTTCGTCGTACATGGAGGAAACGAATGGCGTGGTGGTACTGGCAGTCGTGACGATGCTGGTGATCGTTGTGGCGGTCGTTATGAAGAAGCGCCATGGCAAACCAGTGGAGGACCATACCAACGACGATGACTACATCGCGCTGCTCCATTAACGACATGTCGCTGGAGAGGTACTACATAGTAGTAGCTACGATCGGTAGTTGATGTTGTACAACACATTCGCGCTTTGAAAAGTGGTCGTGTTGCGTGTGTTTCCATGGGTTAAATACGATTGAGGCCTGGCAATGCAAACACACGATGATTGCCAAAGCCCCTTTCAAATGATGAACTAACACACTTCACACGATACACTTGGCACCAGAGTGTCAAAGCTTGACAGCAATAATGTGCAGTGTTTTCACGCTGCTGCTACAGCCTGTACTACGCCTGTTCCGATTTGATTACACTTCAGAACAGCATATAAACTTGAGTGAATAAAGGTTATTTGACCTTCTCGCTGGCTACCACGACACATCATGGCAACAAGCATAATAACACGGGGATGATCACCACAATCACCTTTTGGACATGAATAGTAATACTACTTTGAAGGTCAAACTCGTTCTGGATGTAGAATACAAACGATCTCCACAAGCAAAACCCCATCATCGAGAGCCCAACAGTACTATTGTCATTTTACCCAATATTTGGCCTTTTGTGCTGATTCTTTGCCAAACCTATCGATCGATTGTTTGATTTTTGCATGTAAAGATCGTCCAGTATCACACTAATTTCAATCACACACTAATTCGATGTTGAATTATTCGAAGAGTGGATTTGATTGGCTAGTTGATTCATGTGTTTTGATTGGTCGATCTTTGATTGTGTGCCGATTTGGTTAATCTGCTCATTCGATTGAGCACCCAAACACTCCAACCAATTTCGAATCGAATGAACAATAACAAGTACTAGTATTAATAAGTACTACTAGTAGTATCTACTTCGAAGTATATGTATTACTGTGTATTTCGGTCGCTACTACGTGGCCACGCCAGCGAATGCTGACGACATCCGTGATGACGAATCAACATGCTTGATTACTTGGCATAACTAGTCACTTTGGTCGCCAGTGCCACGGGCAACTCGTGCGTGAGTTCTGGCAGGACATGGCCAAACACGCCCGTGATCTTTTGCAATGCTGAATCCAACGCTACAACCAAAGTTAGCTCAACAATAGTGCCTCCTTTACAATCGACAGGAACTAACTATAACGAGAAAACGCACCGTAGACTATGGCTTCGTACTCTTCGCTTTGTGGTACCCTCAATGCTTCACACGCAACTCGACACGACGCCAGCGAGTACAAGATGGCTGGCAGTGTTACCTACATACCAACCGCATCGATTCATGTTATGATGAAAATAAAGTAGAGAAAAATACTTGTATCTTTGTCGTCTAAATTGATTAAAGTAGAGAAAAGAGTCGTCTAAATTGATTGCATTTCGTACCTGGACAACACCTTGCTTATCTTTGGTGAACGATGTACACACTGCCGTTGCCAACGCGTCCACAGAGTGCACCACCGCCTAATCCAACTTATCTTTGACACACGAACATAGCATATATATATTTATATATCATAAGAATAATTTCAAAACACACATTTCAAAACTATAAGTATTCTTCCCCCACTTTGGAAAGACGATACTTGTACAGACCACCTTTCAGGTACAATACACGCGAACCCAATATGCCAGGCATACGACAACTATAAATATATTTATATATATATATATATATGCGCCAACTTGACGTGCAAATATCATATAACAAAGAATCAACAATCAAAAACCTACTTTTTGACTACTTTACAAATCAAACACGCAAAATACTCACACACGACCAATATACTGACAAGGAATATTGTGAATTCGGTATAAACTTCCAAAATTCGCCTGGTGTGTCGCCTCAATAATGAATCAACCCGGAGTTGTGATTGGTCGAATATACTTGTCCTTTCGAGCCAATCAAATCCCCTCAAAAATGGATTAGCCAATAGCGGCGATAGTTCGTGATTCGGATCGACGGGGTCTGGAAATTCGTATCGAATATACCACAATACTACTAGTGTACATATTACACATGCGACTGTTGTGCATACCTTGGACGAGAGCAAGACCGTGGCCAGTGTGATGTGCCACAACGAGTTTGCCATTAACTTTTGTGGCCACGTCCATGGAGATGGCAAGGCGGCGTGGAGTCCCCCCGTAGCCACAAACGCATGTAACATGGGCGAGGCTGTGATCTGCTGCAGAAACGTCGAGGGCGACGGCTGGTCACTCGTGAGGATCTGCCACGTCACGTGAATTAAACCCGAAGGCTGGGCGTTCGTTGGTTGTACTTTCCAGGCGCTCAGAGCGCGCCATGTGTACGCGAAGCCGTCGATGGTGGCCGTGGCGACGGAAAACACTTGGAGCCACACCGTTTCGGAGGCAAAGAAAGCCGAGCTGTTGCCGCTGGCGGCCGCAAGATGCAAGTCGAGCGCTTGGAACTGGAAGTTCCAGAACTCAAACGACCGGGTGGACGGCAGCACGAGGTGCGGCTGGATCGTCGTGCCAGGATGTGACGACGTTCTGGCCTGGAGAAACGCAATGTAGTTGGCCGATGGACGCGAGCGCAGACTTGACAGCTCGGACGGCGTTAGCCTCGGCGCGATGGATGGCGAAGGCACGTGCTTGGTGCACTCGGTGCACGTCACCGCTGGGTGCTGCAGCTCGAGCCACGTGGGTGCACACCCAGGTGCACCTTCCCAGCTATACGCTGTTCGCAAAAACAGGCACGAAAATGCCTTGGCGGTCGTAAAGTAGACGAAAAATAGACTGGTCGAGGATGCGACCAGCGTGAGTAGGGCTGAAAACGGGAGGTCCGTGGAGCTAAAGAGGATCGCGACGGCCGAGAGCGCGGCAGACTGCGCCGTGCGGACGAGGACGAACGGGAAACTTGCAAGCAACGACACGACCGGATCGCTCACGATGGGACGATGTGCGAGGAGATGGTGCGGCGCAAAGGCGACGTACGCCGTGAGAAGACTAGCTTGGGTCAAGACGGTCCCGAGATTTGACACGAGGAATTCCTGGGAAACGAGGTAGCCGAAGAGAGCATTCCACACGAACGATGTGACACCCAGGACGGCGACCAGTGCGATGGACTCGAGGCGGCAGACGCGGAGGGCAATGGACACTCGGATGGACGGGGATTGCGAAGGTACTTGCTGAGGCAGGAGAAACAGCAAGTACAAGACACACGCAAGACTGATCACCACCAGAAGCGTCTGTGCGAGCAGCAGAAACGTCCATTCAAGAGCAGATGCGACTGTACTCCCAACAGCCATCACATCGTCGTCAACTTGGCTAGAGTAAAGCAACCATCGGAGGCTGGAACCCACGGCTCTGGCGGCAGCAATGGTCAGGAAGCTTGTCGAGACTACCCCAGATCCACAGCTTCGGATGCGATTCCCCACTCGTGAGGGCACTGGTGTCGCCGCCATCTTCAATGGAGGTGGAACTGTGGCACACTATTTCTAGGTAAAGAGTTACACTATTTGGGTACACTTGTCAGAATTTAGTGTTTGACATGCCTGTGACTTGCCCCAACTGATCAATGAATATGCATGCTACGAGATGATTGGACATAATTCGCAATTATTCGTGCATTATAGGAGATGATTGGATATAATTCGGTGATGGTACAATATATGCACAGGGGTTCGACCGGTCTGCTTCCCTTCATTTTTTATTTGTCCTTCATACTGTGCAATCACGCCATTCGGCCCTATGTTAACTGTAATTCTCCTTGATAACGCTACCATCACGACCATAAGCCCGAGTACAGACCATGCAATTTCCGCCCAGAAATGCTTGGATAACTACTAGTTTTAGTTTGTGGCTGCCGTACACTAATTAACCTTATATACTTCGAAGTACAGTAGTTTGTAGTCGCCATCGGTGGGGATGCTCAAAGTGTGTTTCTGTCGACGGGTGCAACAGATGCCCGAGTTTGCACTGCTGAAGGTCGCAGCAGCTTGTCACACGTTAGCGTTACGGGTATGCCACATCACATTGCTGTCACGTACGAACTACAATTTAGCACTAGAAACTATTCCGTCAACGCTCGATGATTGGGATGAGTTGGATGGGCAGGTTGCAGCAGCAGACAGATAAGTGGAGGAAGGGAGAACCGGAAGTGAATTAATTCTGACGACAGAGGAGGAACTGGCTCTAGATGTGCCAGTTCCTCCAACAGCCAATCAAATACTAGATTATGATTGGTCACGACATCCTGTGATGTTCCATGACGAGTCTGCGCTGTCTTCTACTCTGAGGACAAGCCTCTAGAAGGCACAAAAACCTCCTGCACAGCT